CCTTGAGCTGAAATTAAGCTTCAGCTGGTTTAGTTCTAACTCTGGGCCCCATCAGGAGACCAGAACCTGGTTTAGTTCCATCAGGAGACCAGAACCTGGTTTAGTTCTGACTCTGGACCCCATCAGGAGACCAGAACCTGGTTTAGTTCTGACTCTGGGACCAGAACCTGGTTTAGTTCTGACTCTGGGCCTCATCAGGAGACCAGAACCTGGTTTAGTTCTGACTCTGGGCCCCATCAGGAGACCAGAACCTGGTTTAGTTCTGACTCCGGCACATGAAAACTTCCAGTAAAAAAACTAAATAATAATCCCAAATCAGCTTGTCTAGAATATATGTCCGGTTTAATACAAGCATCAGCTTCTGTGAACTGTTTCACAAAATCATAATTAGCCTGTTCTGAGCTAGCTCGCTTCTAATTGGCTAACTTTTGACCCGTCCTCTTTCACTGGTATGTTTAGGTTTAATTTTATTTCTATAGCACCACATCAGAACTACAGTTATCTCTAAGCTTTCCAAACAGAGCAGCTCAGACTCTGAAGTTATTTACAGAAGAACAACAATTCCCACCAAGAGCAAGCACTAGGCGACCCAGGGAAGGAAAAACTTCCTTGCCTGAATTAATAAAGGAGGAATTAATAAATGCACGTTTGTTGGAAGGCTGAGCGCGCGCCCAGAAAAGAAAAAGGCTACATCTAACGACAGGCTATCGTTTTTGTTAGCTTCATAACACGTTAGCTTCATAACACGTTAGCTTCCACGTTAGCAGAGCTAGCAAAGCCCGAGCCGTAGCTACACAGAAGCCAGCGCAAGTACAATATAATAGTCCTACCAACCATTTCACTCAGATTTAACTGTGCCATAGCCTAGCTGCCAAGATTTCACACCTCATCTGGGGACAGATTAGTTTAACGGTTTTATATGAACGGGTTCCCAGGCAGATTTTTCTTTTTTTTCTCTTTTTGTTTTTATTCCAAACTTCCTCTTTTCGTTCAAATGTCGGCTTGTGATATTAATATGTAACATTTCTAATTGGATTGGAACTTGAATGGTTCATTAGCTAATGGCGGTTGTTTACTTAACTCATTGACTGGCAGCCATTTTCAGAACAGAGTCCCATACTGCCAGAGTTTTTTTAGCATTTTGACTGATTTTTCAAGAGCCACAGAATAGTTTGTGCTATGACTATGTAAACACCGAACACACCAAAAGAAAGAGTAGACTCTCTTCTTTCATCAGGATAAAAAACTATTGTTTCTACCTTATTCCGTTCTTCCTGGACTTGCGTCTCACCGGCGACATGTTCTCTCATAGAACCGTTAGCTTTTTCTTATTTGCCTACAGTCTATGCTCATCTCCCATTAAAAGTGGCACTGCCCCCTAGAGGGTCAGTTTGTTACTACATACTCTGTCTAGAAGCCGATATTTACGGACAAGCTTTAGCAGATCGTCCCCCAGACACTCTCGTTGAAAAACATAAAAGACGTCTATAGACGTCTTTGGCAGCCAATGAGTTAAGGGGTAAAATCCCACGTTAAAGATTAGCTCATGACCTCTCACCCTCATAAACGTTCTACTTTCTGCTTGTGGAGGGAAAAGCAAAGAAACGTCGTCACTCGAGAGAATCCCGCATGTGATGCTCGACATGTTTGTGTGTTTCAAAGGGGGCCAGCCGGAGTGCACGTGCAGAATGTCCAAAACTTGATCACTTTGATAGTTAGGCTTTTTCTTTTTAGGTCTTTTTTTAGGTCTTTTTTTTTTTTTCTATGGCGGTGACGTTGAGAATATGATTTTTATTTTGTATCGATTTGTCATTTTCCTAATCTTTTTAATTCAAAGATGTTGTTGTTTTGTGTCAAAAATGTCTTTAAGAAAGCAACTACTGTGCACAGGAGATAACATATCTACACGAGTGGAATGTAGACCTTAAATGCCCCTTTATGAGGTATATATATACATAAATATATATATATAATCTCCTTTTCACCACACTCTTACTGACCAGGTGCCAGCATTCTGCCTCTACATCAATGGAAAGTTGTGAATACTTCAATAAGTGGGCAGGTGATGCTATGTCTATTTATTTTTAGAAGCACACAAAGCAAATTGTATATACTATATTTATTCTATATATGAGGTTGTTTATTTTTTTGTCATTTCATTTTGGTTTGGTCTGTTTGTCACTGTGTAATAATCTTCTGTTTTATCCCCCCCCCCCCCCCCCCCCCCCCCTTTTTTTTTTTTTAAAAAAAAAGGCCAGTAGAGCTTTTTTTGCTGCCGGCTGCTGTAGAGTAGCTGATAGCTTAAAGGCTAGCATTAGCACTCGTGCCTCATATGCAAATATTTTCCTCGTAGAATGAGGAACGCGTGTTTCTAAAACGTGGCCTTAACCTATCGGAGCCAAGCTCGACTCAGAGTAACCAATCAGGGCTTAACTTTTGCCACAGAGTAGCTTCTCTTTAATTAGCTTCGATTAATAAAACATGTACAGGCTGTTGATTATTGAGTGTGATGTATTAATGACTATGTGGGGTAAAAGGTTGGTAGTTTTGGGGCCTCCTGGAAGTCTGAAATCAACCAGAGTACCAGAAGTTAGGATTCCAACCCAAAAGCACTAAAACAAATTGGTATCTTCTGTCCCGATTACAGAAGTTTTCCTGTAAAATCTAATATACCCAGCCTTTAAATCTCATCCCGGAACTACTGCCTTGTTAACAAACCCTTTGAGTGGATAACCCTGAACACACAAAGGACCACGCGGACCCTGAAGGCATCCTGACTGGAACTGTCTTTGCGTGTTCATCTTGCTTTTTGTAAGTGGTAAAAAATAAAATAAAAAAGCCCTCTTTTTGTGAGCTTTCTCTCTGCAGACCTTTGTAATTTGCTGGAAATAAATGGCAATATTATTTCATACCATCCTTTCCACCTAAGTGTGTTTCCTGTACCGTGTCTTTCATTTTGGAAAAGTTACAAAAATTTGTGTGTATCCACGTATTGAAAATAACAGAAATCCTAACTTTAATCACTTTAAAAATGTTTTTTGTGTAACGTTTGAAAGAGAAAAAAAGAGATATTGAGTTCAAACAATGACGTAATGGATGCCTGGTCCCAATCAAGACGTTTTTAAGCATTTTTCCAACATATTTCTAAAGAGAAATAAAAAGTGGGGAAACACTGGACATATTGATGTGCCTGGATGTAAAACATTGTGTGAAACCACAGCATTTCCCCATGTATGTGTTTATTTCCTTCGAAAGTGTAATTTTTAAATTAAACACCTGAAAACACCCAGTTGTTTGGATGTAGAAGCACTTGTGTTTTGCTCTCAAAGAAAAAAAACAAAAAAATGACCTTTTCAGACATGTTTCAGTGGAAGTAAAAAGGATAGAAGAACATTTTAGACCCACAACACATCTTCCTTTATATTTATATCATTATTGAAATTAATCATTTATGGATTGATTGAATGAACACTTTATTGATCTCCGAGGAGAAATAAAATTTAAATTTAAATTAAATAGACACAAAATATTTTTTAAAAAGCCCTCTTTTTGTGAGCTTTCTCTCGGCAATATTATTTCATAGTTGTTTGAATGTTGTCAAAGACATGAAAAAAAAAATCTTTTCAGACATGTTTCAGTGGAAATAAAAAGGATAGAAGAACATTTTAGACCCACAACACACTTGGCATCTTCCTTTATATTCATATCATTATCAAAATTACTCATTTATTGATTGATTGATTGATTGCTTGATTGAACGAATACTTTATTGATCTCCAAGGAGAGATTAAGTTTAAATTTAAATTAAATAGACACAATATATAAGAACAGATGAGGATAAAAGCAACATGGCTGATTCCAAACACACACATGTGTTAGACCAACTTTAACTGGAGATCAGCAGAGAGCTGAGCCCACATCCTGGAGCCTGG